GGCCCTGCTGTGCCCCGTGCTGCAGCCTGGCCAGGTGCCGGCCGCAGGGCTGGACGAGTCTGCGGGAGTCTGCGCAGCTCTCGGAGGTGCAGGTGTCGCTGCGCCCTGCCGAGTTGCCCTTCCCTGGCCGAGGCTCTTCCCCTGCTCAGCACCATGTTCCTCTTTCCCCTCTCATTTTGAAACTGGGACTTGAGCAAAGCGTGTCTGAGCTGCAGCTGGTGCATGGCACTGCCAGCTCTGGCAGAGGGTGTGGGCAGGGCCTGGGCACGAGGCGGTGCAGGTCAGGCTTAGAGTTAGAAGAGAAAGCAAGCACGTTACGATCTCGTAGCCCAGATGACCGTACGAAGTCATGTCAGCATCCGTAAGCTCCTGAGGCAGGGGTTAATAACGGAAAGGGCAGAGGAGGTGAGCTGGCGTGTGGCACTGTGCTGGTTCCTGAGAAGGGTGGCTGGGACTAGCGTCCCCCTCTGCCCACCGCTGCCAACCGTGTGCTGCAGCTCAGCAAAAGGTGGCTCTGGCATGGAAAGCCCTGGTGAGCGCAGCTTCCCCGGCTGCCCGTGCAGCCCAGGCTGTGGGAAGCAGATTGCTCCAGCCCTGGGGGCTGGCACAGACTGTGTTTTGGAGCAGCAGAAGGCTGTTCTGCTGGGGGTGCTGGTCCCTCTTCTGGGCTCGGAGGTCTAGCTCAATGGCTGCGTGACACAAGGTGTCTCCATGGGGATGGTCAAGTTTGGAGCTGTTGGCAGTCCATCCTTGGAGACCTTCAAGGCCCAGGAAGCCAGGGCTGACCTCAGTGTATGGGCCTTGCTTCCAACCCATCCATCTCTGGTTCCCTTCCAGTTTAGAAGTGCAGGCAGCACTGTGCAGTCAGCTGGGCACTGCCCTGCGTGTGGCAGGCAGGCTGAGTGGGGCGCAAGGGATGTGGTGATGTGGCAGAGGATGTGCAACGGGGCCGGGGGCTGCAGGCTGAGGGTTTTATCTGGGCTGCGGGGTGGGAGAGGAGCTCTGCCACCCGCAGCTTGGGTGCTCCGGAGCCACCTGCAGAAGAGGGGGGCAGGTCTGCGCAGCCAAGGGCTTGGTGCAGTTCTGGGCACCACAGCCTGGGAGCACACAGGGCACCCTGTGAGTCCCCCTCCTGTGCCACGGAGCTGGCCGGGTCCTTTGGCTGGGCTCCGGCTGCCACCGCCTCACCATGGTGGCTTTGCCGGGCCCCCCCCCGCCCCCGCGCTACGCTCCTGTGCCCGACCTCGCTGCTGAGCCCACTGCCAGCCCACGGCTCTGCCCACAGGGTGCAAGGGTTGCCAAGGCACTGGTGGGGAGACTCTGGCTGTCCCCATTGTCCCCAGTGCTCTGTGCTCAGCCTGACTGGTCCCCCACTGTGAGCAGGTAGTGACAGGGGTGACCCCTCCTCGCCACAGCACCTACCCAGGAGAGCCCTGATGCACCTCCCAGCCTCATTTGTGTTACGACTGTTTGGTTTAGGTGGGGGGCCGTTGGGTTTTTTTTTTTGCTTAGCCACTTTTTACTTAAACACGTCTTTTGGTTTCTAAGAATTTCTTCAGCAACTCAAGCCCCTGGTTTTCCTCAGGACTTCCTTTCCCTGGACGAGAAGGAATCTCCTGACTGCCTGGGACTGATGTTCCCCACTTTCCATCCTCCTTGTTACACAACCCAACTCCACTGCCGCAGCACTTGGGCACAAGGAGAGCTGTGCCTGGCCAGTGTGTCCCCTGCCACCCCGTCCTCTGAGGCGTCGGCCACATCCCACCTCAGCCCGTTATTTATTGAAGAGCATTGTGCTGCCACCACCAGCCTCTCTCTAAACGTCTCCAGTTAAACCCAGTCTCTTTTTCCGAGTTGTTTGTCAGTCTGCGCAGGAGCCCGCTGCTCGCCTGCTGCTCGAGCACCTTCGTCTGACCTTGCACCCTGCCGCTCTGCGGGCTGACAGCAGGCCCTCTTCACCTGGGCTGGGGTGGCTGCTGCTGCTCCCGGCCAGGGATCAGCTCCAGAGAGGCTGGAGCAGGGGAAGTGCAGCTCTTCCAGCACAGGGCCTGCCCTGTTGCAGTGGGGCTGCTGGCTGGGTGGAGGATTGTACTAAGGCTCAGCTGAAACGTCACCGCATAGAGAGCGGAGCCAGCCGGCTGCACTGCAGACAGGACAAATTGTCCCCTGCCCAAGCCGTGCCCAGGAGGGGCTCTGGCACCCACAGTGGCACAGCCAGCTTCTCCTAGGCCCCTGCCTGAAGTCCTTGGGTGCAGGAGCCATTTTGGAGTA